GTTTATTGAAGAACATTATAAATGTTCAATAACCGCTCATCAGGATAAGTGATAACTGTTAGTATTATCAAAGTTTACATTAATCACTATAGTTAATAATTACTGAATTGTGATTCTCCTATCTTCAATGGAAACTATCTTTGCATCAGGGACTGCTACTGTGGCATAGTGAACATTAAATACCTAAGGGCCAAGATTCCTTATTTGCCTCCAAAAGCCAAATGCACAGGCACTGATCATCTTGCCACTAAAGGCTCCTGGCCACCCTCAGCTGCCTCAGAGCAACTTATCTGCACTAGATGTTTAGCTCTGAAGTGACTCCAGGGAATTCACATTCCAGGAAAGGAATGCAAAACTATCAACAACAATCAAAATTGAAAACCACTGGCCTAGAGATATAAAGAAATGGAAGCCATACTTGCCCAACTGCCAGGCTTTACTCATCCAAAACAGACTTATTCTTAAAGAAATATATTTCTCTAGTGTACAATATTATAATGATAATAATTATTACTAATCTAATACTTGCATGTTTCCAGTTTTAAGAAACCTTTACATAATTTTTTCCACTTGCACTTCAAAACAATCTGTGAGGTAGTCTATAATTAATTTCCATTTAGCAGACGAAGAAATTGAGATTTAACGAAGTTCAGTCACACACACTGCAGATGTGCCAAAGTAACCTGTGTGCAAACCCATACTTCCCAACTTTAAACATAGAGTTCTTTTCACTTGCCTCTGAAACCTATATTAAGAAAGGCCTTCTAATAACAAAGGCTCTAGTCCTCTCTCACTCCTTAGGAACGTGCATGCTTTCACAGCTGGCTACAGCCACAGCAAAAGTGGCCTTGTTGTACCATCTTTTGAACTGGCCTCCATTTCCCTCCCCTCAGTACCACAAGGGTTCCATTTTTCACAGAATCCAATTCCTGTGAAGAGACCATTTAACGAGGCAGGAAGTGGCACATTTTCTCACTTATTTAGGACATACTAAAGTGTGACCTTTTTTACTTTATTTCATATGCAAACATTTTATTACTGTGTCCATTTCTGTTTGGGTTATCTTACCTCTGTAAGGGTGGAATTCCTGTAAGAATAAAGACTAGAGGACTGGGGCCTAGTCCTGATTGCTCTATGATCTTGGATAAGTATCTACCCTTCATAGACTTCAGCTTTCTCATCAAGAGGATGGGTTGGATTAGGCAATCTCTTCCTTCCAGTTCTAACGTTCTATGATCCTGTGACACCTCTTTTAGATGTGATAGGCATGTTCGGTATGCAATTGTTGGTTGTTAAGTATTTGTTGAAGGAATGATAAATGCAGTTTTACTTTGAGAATGGCTACTGGGATCAAGTATAGTGAAGCACACTGTCAAAAGCATCTGGCTCCATTCCACCACTTTTACTACTTGGATTTGAAGAATACCTACAATGTATATGTCAATAGCCTCTCTGTGCTTCTTTTAAATATTAAAAATAAACTGCAACAAACATTTTTATTGAGTTTGTAGATCTGAAAATTACTGATTTCCATTTTGCTCTATAATAACTCAATTTATTTATTCTCTAAATTATGGCTTAGCAAATTAGTTCATGAATGAATTTCCTTGAAAACTGAAGATTACCACATGTAAGTGCATAAATTATTTTCATACGAAATACTTTCAACAGAAGATATTAAAAAACATCAACGATCACACATTCTTCTGCTTCCTTAACCAGAGTACTTTACCTCTCCTTGATTACCTATAATTCTATCAATTAGCCAAACAGTTATCAAACTGTGTTAGACTCTATTCTAGTCACTAGAGTGATACTCAGAGGGCCTGGGGGAATGCCTACATCTATTTCTCCCTCTGTTGAATGTGCACAGACTGCTGTGCTGAATAACTCCAGAGCAAATAAAAGACCCTTGTCTCCTTATATTTACTTTTGCCAGCTGTTATATCTAATGTTTTCCTGTGAATCAAGTGGGCTCTAATCTGCACCTGTATTTTAGGTAAATGGCTTGAGGATGGCTTCATCTTTTCAATTAAGCTAAACCACAGGCTTTATGACATCTGTTTTTCAATCAGAAGCTGTTTCCATTTATTTCCAGACTCATGGCTATGTTCCATATAGTGGTGTTGCTGCAAATCTGATTTATAGATAAGTGAAATTTTCCATTAATACCCTAACAAATCTTCAAATGAGATATCACAGGTAAAGGAGCTCTAACAAATATAAAGCTATACAAAACAATAATCATTATTACTGCTACAGCAACTATGATTCCAAAGATAATCAGAAAAATGTACAAATTGAGCTTTAAAACTTCTTTTATTTGATAAAATAACCATTGCATATACTTGATTTTCTTACTATAAGAATATGTGAAATGTAACTTTATACTATGGAAGATGTGCACATATAGATGAATACAATAAACATTGAGGCACTTAAACAATTTGAATATTCTTAAATAATAAATACTAGTACCACCTATAAAATATTTTAAACCTTTCATGTGTCACTTGTATTTTAACAGGAGAATGGCAATCTCTTCTTATGTGAATTTTAATATATTCAATGGAATCATTTGAGTTTTGGAATCATCTTCTTTATAAGCCATAACACAAATGATACAGCTCTTTTTCCACTGTTTTTAACAGATATTCTTACGCTTTACATTCAGAGTTAGGGAGGGAAACTCTTCCTCTCCTGTCCAAGTGTTTCTGCACAATGGGTAATTTTGGCTTCACTTCAGGCTTATTGATATTGCCAGCTGACAGAATCCTTCAGAGAAAACAGAAACCTCTCCCTGTCCTGCTAACGTCAATGAGGGGTCCATGATGTTGGCAAGGACACTAACGCTAACATTGCAATCAGTTAGCAAGACACCATTCCAACAGCAACTGTCTATAATCCAAAACTTTTGTAATTTAAAAAAAAATCAAAGAAAACTTCAGTACTTCTTTGGCTCTCTAATATTCTTATTTTGTGAGAAGGCAAACACTGACTAAAGTTGGCACAATTAATATTACTGAAGATTTTACATCACTTCTTAAATATATCCGTGTTATAACTAACTCTAAAAGCATTTACTACTATACTGAAATTGCGGGTTTTTCATGGCTTGTTAACCTTCACAGCTCTGGAATCTTTTAATTAGGAGACATTTGTTAAGCCATAGATCTTGCTTACCTAACCCAGACTTTTTAAGTAAAGAATGTCTCTTGAAGGTTTCCATTTCCATGAAAAATTCCTAGGTAGGATTCTTTGCAGTTATATCACAGGAAGAAGTAGGTTTCAGCTGTCTCAAGCAAAACTCACCAAGTTTTTTCACATTTAAGTTTGAGTACGTATTATTTCTAATCAAATGGTTTTTTTTCCCTCTCATCATCACCTGCACTGTGTACTGCTGCTACACATGCATGCTGAGACCTCATGAAATAAAAGCTGTAAATGTTGCCCTAACAAGTGAAAAAATAATCATAACCCAAAACAATAACAGTGTATTAGAACTCACAAACTATCTTCAAACATATTTAGGACTGTTCTACGATGTATTATTTTTTCAGGGTCCTTCTTAAAATAGGGATCTTAAAAATAGGGATCAGCAATTTAAAAAGTAAGGCTGCAAATTATGAATTAAAAATCTAAAACCCTTGAGACTTTCATATAATTATCCAATCTTGTCTTGACTCTTCAGTTTGGGACACTTGCACAAGAAATTATGACTATGTTAAAACCATTTAGTATGTGTCTTTACCTCTAGTTTCTTCCCATTGAATATGTCTTGCCCAAAATCTAAAAGTCATCTCTCTAGAAAAAAATCAGGAAGTTTCATTGTTCTCCTTCAAAGCCATACACAGCATCAAAGCTATGTTTTGCACAAAAAACAACTTCATATGTAACTAAATCCCTTAATCTATGATCCAAACTACTTTTTAAATCTAATCTGCCACTAAACTACTCCACCGTCTCAATTCTTCTACTACAATGCCAACCTCACCAAATCAGAGCACTTACCAAAGTGCTCATCATGAACTTTACCCCTCTATACTTTTGTTTACATTATTCACTCTGCCTGAATGTTCCTCTCTTCCTGATCCTTCAAGTCCCTACTCAAATAGCAATTTCTCAATGAAATTTCCCAATACTTTCTCAACCAGAATTTGATGAAAATTCCTTTGTATTCCAATAGATCCTTGACCAAAGTTGTTTTTAGTACTTCTCACATTGTTTTACTTAAAAAAAACAAGCAAACAAAAAACAAGCCATGTGCCTCCCATTTTAATTCCTTAACTCTGTAACAGCTCAGCTATATAACAGCATCATGAGTTTGTATTTAATCACTTCCTTGGTTACGTAACAGCATAATGGGTTTGTTTTCTCTGGGACTTAACTCAAAAATAGCGCTTTTAGTACTCTGTCACAAGGCTGTGGGACTGGACTAAATTGAGGTATTTTCAGTTCTAAGATCCATGATTTGTTCCATCCACCCATCCATCCATCCATCCATCCATCCATCCGTCCATCCATGATTGCTTGAGATCTCTTACAACTCTAATATCTATCATTCTACATCTATGAAGGCTGGATTCTAAGGAACTATAAGAAGTCCTAAACATTCTGCAAGAACGTATACTGTGTCAAAAAGAATAACTTGAGGGACATGCAAAATAGCAGTTAAAAAACTCATAAATACTGAAACACATTTCTCCAGCTGGTATTTGCTTAGGTATGCACATTATGCTTTGTATTTAGTTTCCCTCTCTGAATAGCTTGGGATGTCACAGTTAACTTAAAAGGGACCAAATAGGCTGACTGATAAGTAAGTTTCAAAGAACTGGAAAATAGACAGGATAAATAAAATTCTAAATCATATTTGAGAACTGTCTGCAGTGAAAACATGCCAACAACTCAGGTATTTGTTTTATTTGTTCAGGAAAAAAAGGAGACTGAACATTTAAAGAAATACATAGCTTTGACATGTCAATGAAAGCTCCAGAGCCTACCTTTGTTTCTGTTGCATGGGCTGTTGCCTCATAGCCATATACTGCATGTCTTCTTGCAGACGATTAAGAGGGGAATCTGGCTTGACACGAATCCCATAGTAATGGTACTTGGAGTTTCCTCTTCATAAAAAGAACAACATTAGAGACACAAAAAATCAGTCAAATCAGTATTAATCATATAGGATATCCATATAACTTCACGTTTGGAAAAATATATAAAAGTAGCATATTAATGTTTTATATTTGTGATGTCTTCTGCATACTTATATATTTTCATGGTGGCTACCTTTGAGGAATCAAAATATGATTCTCAATCTATCAGCTCAAGGCCCTAAAAAACACTTTCCTTATAAACTTTCTCTTAAATTTGTCAAATAGTCCATTTATTCCATTTAAGTTACATTTTATTTTAAAATTTATGTACTGAATTTAATTTGGAAGGAGTAATACTGAGAAAAAAATTCTGGCCAACAAAAATTCATTTACAGGATAAAAGGATTGCACACTGAAGAAGAATTTATAATAAAGAGGTTATACAGAACCAACAGAAAAAAATCTTAATTCTACCTTTCTTAGGTAAGTTCTACATTTTTCAAGTTCTATTACTGCAGGGATGATGAAGATAACTTCACTGATGCAAGATGTTGTGATGAAGTCTATTATATTTAATATTTTGAAACCTAAAAAGAAGCATGCATTTACTCATTTTGAAACATATTTTATTCATCTCTGTTTTTATGGATTCATATTAGTTTTGCAGGCTGAATGAGATGCATCACAACAGACATGGGGACATTTCTCTGTGAAAATGGCAAATTTCCACCTGGAATAAAAATGTCAAAATTTTCTCCTTGTTCAGGAGAAAGACTGTTTGTTATTAGAAATGACAAAGTTTAGTTCTGAGTGAAATTTGAAATTCTTGCAAAAATAACATTTTAAATATGTAAATTTTTGCAAAGAAAACATAGTTTCTCACAAGCCCATATATAGCAAAATATCAGGACTCTTCAATATTTTTCTTTTATTTATAAAAAGGAATGCAGGCGAAGTGCTGATTAAATATTTTATATAAAAGTAGAACACAGTAAAATATACAATTGATGAACTACAGAATTGTACACCTGAAACCTATATATATTTATTAACCAATGTCACCCCAATAAATTCAATAAAAAATAGGAAAATAAACAAATAAAATTTGTAGGATAATTTCAATATAAAATAGATATGACAATAATATTATTGAATTATAGTTAATTTTCTTAGGTTTGACAATGATGATAAAAAAATAGAACAGAATTTCCAAGATTAAAGAACATATATTAGATGAACCCTATAAATTTGAAAAGCCATTAAAATTTTGTTATGTATATAATAGTGCTAGTTTTAAACAAATGTAGGGCATCTGAATACCTACATAGTTTCAGCAAAATAAACCAGTATGAAAATCTAATGCTTCAAAAGAGAGGCCTTCCACTTGCAGAGATTAGATCTTGTTTCCAAAATCCACTACAGAATAGAGTAAAAAACAAAACCGAAAAATACTACAAACCCAATCAGTAGTGTTCTCTTGTACTAAGTGGAGAATGATAGGGAGTCACGGTAAAGGTGGAGAGCAGAGGACATTAACCAGGGAACATAGCCAATGACAGGGCTACAGAGTGAAATGATGTCTCCCTAGTGAGACCACAAAACAGATGAAGTGTCTACTTTCTTTTCAGAGTCTTACAAGTCTACATTTGTTTGGGTTGGGAGAAGGGAAGTGGTTCTTTCTATTCATAGGTGATGGGGAAGGTCAGCATGTCCCATGGTCTTGGCTTAAACTTCATTTGGAAATGCAATCTACGAAAGGTAGTTTTTCCGTTTGCCTTTGTTTACAAATGTGATTTTATTTACCTTTTACTTAGTTTCAAAACTTGAGAAAAGGTCTGGTTTTGGTTTGAATGAATTCACCAGTTAGTTTTATTAATGGATAAATACAAGTTCTGCACATAGTTTGCTTTAAAAAAGGTATCTGAGTTAAATTGTCTCATGATTTATACTGATTTAGTCTCTGTTGCCTGAATTAAAGGTAGAAAGTGGATGCTAATACAGTTTCCATGGTAGACTCAGTACTTTGACCTCTACCATTGTCAGTTTTTCTACATGAAACTTCTGCTATTCTCCTAACACAGCATTTCTTTAAACTTTCCCCAAAGGGTTTCTTTTCTCCTTATTCTTCTCAGCTCTGCTTTCCATCCTTAATTACAAATACTATATGACAATTTTAAAAGGAGCAGGAGACATATTGTTACATAGTTGGGGGGGAGGGGGAGAGCACCAGAAAGTAAATGCTGCAATATTGCAATATGTACTTATAAAGTATGGATTCTACTCATTCACAAACCCAAACAACCCTAATTTTGTCACTTTTTATTTTAAAGATGTGTTTCAAGGTTTGAATGGAGCCTCAAGATAGGATCCATTGAAATCCCTTTCAGTAACAAAAGAAGCACAACAATACAGCTATTAGAATGTTGAATAAAGCCCAGAGTTTCAAAATATTGGCACAGTATGCGTAACTACTGAGCTACCAGATAGGAGACAGTAGGTTAGGTCCCAAACAGTGATTTTTGTGGTTCTGGGGGAAAAATACTTAAGAAACAGAAGGTGTTCTCCCTGCCAAGGGACTGAAAGCTAGGTAGAAGAAAATACGCTTATGAGAAAAATAAACCTCCAGCAATCTGAAAGCTGTATAATTACTTAAAATGCAACAGAAAGAAATAACTCACACTCTGAACACATACAGACCTTATAAATTTCATACAATCGACACACTCCTCTTTTCATTACTAATTTGAGGTCAATTACTTAGAATATTATGAAGCTATGACTTGTAACTACAGGTAGATCATCTAATGTTACAGGGTACCATTTTTATTTTTATACTATTTAATATGGATTTCTGTAAGATTTAGGAAATAAGAGCTACTGAAAATATGTTATGATTATTTGTAAAAACGACAGAAAAGTAAAAATGAAGCTCTAAGTATTATTTTTATCATATATTTTTATGAAGGAAACAGAGAAACTAAGTGTCTTCTTTTTTGGCTTTCATGCAATAAAACTGTATTTTTTTTCTCTCATACATGTATGGCTTCACATTCAAGAATTTAAAAAGGCAAAAAAGTGTAAAAGGACCATGTCCTTATTGAGGGCTTCAAACAACCATATTTTTCAAGTTCACCAAATGATTCTTAATTGGTCAGCAGAAATGAAATGAAAAAACACAGCTTTAATCTCTTCATTCAATAGAAGAGTTATTTATCGACATTTCAATGTAATTTTTCAAGAGATATGCAGTTTTCCATTTATTATGTTACTTCATTCATCATCTTTAGTGTGGTTATTTTCAAAAAGAGAAGACAGTGATATATATTAATTTTTAAAGCATCCCATGTAAGTCTTGAATTAACAGGTTTGTCTGCTCCTTCCTACGTGATTTGAGAATCAGTTCTCAAAGCTTTGCTCAGTAGATGTTTAGTACAATATATCACTCTGATTTGGTAGTATTTACTGAGTAACGAACAAGCTTTCTTTTTCCTGGTAATTCTGTATTTCTTCTTCATGTTATCTGTAATCAAGTACTTTTGCTCAAACAATATACTGAACTGCTATAGTTTGAAAAAGATTAATTTATGATCTTATTTTTCAATACTAACCTAGTTCCCAATCTCCTGGTTCGTAGCCCCATAAAAATTGACCTTATTAGTTTTCCAAAAGAAGCAGCATTGACTGGGTCCAGTTTGTGTTCCTGACAGTGTCGTAGGTAGTGGTTGTACAGAGTGCTTCTGGGAAGGCTCACTCCTTCTGCTGTCTCGTAATTGTCCAACAGCCACTGGAGCTAGTGTAAATAGGACAGAGTAAACATAGAGAAACCGTACAATTTACAGCATGAAAAATACAATATCTGCAAGTACAGTAGACAGTAATACTTAGATCTTCATCGAGCCTTGTAATAGAGTAAGCTGTTGGAATTCAGAGGCCAGTATAAACTGACTTTAAAAACTCTCAGAAACGTGAATAGCTGTACATCCCATATGATCTCTGACCATCTCCATTCCTACAAATATTCAAACACATGAAGAGACAAAATAATTTCCCCTGTGTTGAATGCTATTTTGGAGACAAACACCTCTTCAGGAAATTCAAATAATCCCATTAACCGGTCATAAAAATAATTTATAATTGCTTCTGAACAAAATGTTACCAAACCTAGCAGCATGACCCATAATTTGCCTTTAGTATTTGTTTGTTATAACACATGAACAGCAGGCTTCCTTGTATGAGTTTTTATATTAAGGTTCTACTCATTTTTATAAAATTCCAATTCATTTATACAAAATAATAAAATAATGGTATTAACTAGTGGGACAGAATTCTGCAAGCAGAAAGAAAAAAGAGTCAGTCATTTCTTCCACAGAAGGAAAGAAACTCACTAAATTTTGGTTAAAGAAATACATGTAATGGAAAAGAATTATTTATTATAATCATTTGAAGTTTTCTACCTCAAAACTATGTTTTTTCATAATTTTGGAAGACACACTACAATTGCAGTTGGAAAAGCAATATTTTTTCACTCTGTAGTTCACATTTTAAAGTTTTATGTTGTCCCATGTATATTTTTAAAAAATAATCTGTAAAGTATAGAATGAGCAAGAAATTTTTAGAAATCCTAACACAGGTATATATTATTGAGTTTTAATATTAGCAAAACTAAGTTATTAATTTGTTCATTTATTTACAAAAGAACTAAAAGAGATTTAAATGACTTTCTTAAGGTTGCATATGACCCTAGTGTTCGAGTCTGATTTTCAACACACATTGCCTGATTATTTACATACCAGTTGTTATTTCCACAAAAGCAGCACGCTTTTCATATTACCTGACTCAACAAAATTTCCACGTCATATATAAGTTGTATGATAAAGAGCTGATATTTTACACGGAATTCAAGTAAAGTTATGCAAGTCAAAGAATTCCTTTATTAAGCATCAACTATAAGCCAGGCAGTGTAATAGGCACCTAGTGATACAAAAACGAATGTGATTTCACGCCTGTCCTCTAGGAATTTACAATCACATCCCTAACATGAGAATACAAACACAAATAAATCAAAACATTTCTCCACTTTTCTTACATATTTTAAGATTTGTAATCAAACTCAGAACCTGAACTTTCAGACTCAAGAAAATTCATTAAAAATATTTTCATAATATTTCCCTTGAATTAACCATAGTGATTGAGCTTCCCAGAATCATTATAATTTCAAATATTCCTACATTAAACCCATACTGCTGTTGGTTTAGAAAATACTGCTATTAAGATTATAAGACAGAGCAGAATACTTTAAAAAAATCATGTTCTGGTCAGGAAGACTGAAGTTCTCTGTGACCTATATCTGCATATATACATTTAGACATGCTCATTGCCTCTGTAACATATACATCCTTTCTATGAATATTTTTTAAAACTACACAAAATAAAGATTCATTTTATAATGACAAAATAAATTACAGGTCAAAATAATTCTTTTGATATGAATCACCTTCAACTTGTCAGCAATCAAGTTTTTAGAGGCACTCAAATATGGTTTCTGAGTATTCTAAATGATGCACAGATAACATATTCATGAGTGTAAACGTGAGGAGGTAAACTGATTGGGAAATCAAGTTTTTAAGGGTCAGACTAGTTTTGTGCCTACAACGGTGGATAAAAATGTCTCTTCAGCATTTCTTTTTAAATTTTAAGACTTTGTTGATTATAAATGCAACTGACGGAGATCACACATAAAATGTGGCAATCAAACCTGCCGCACACATTTCATCCATGTGCCTCAGTTACAGGCCTGGGCTCTGAAAGCACTGTTTCCTCACTTGGTGCTGGCCCCTCTTTGGGTGCAGATACTTGACTGAGCCTTCCATTGTTATTCTTAATTTATTCAGAATATAAAAATAAAGAATAGAGAAATACAGAATATAGAAATATTCTTTGAGAAATTCAGTTCCTTGAGATCAAGAAATATTAGAGAACACTAAAAAAAAAAAAAAAAAAAAAAAGCCATCCCCAGAAAGGCAAATATAAAAACTGAAAATATTTTTTGAAAAACAGTAATATTATATAACTAAACTAGTGAAATGCCCACATCCACAAGCACAGAACACATAATATATTTAAGTAAAAAATTTCAAAGGTATGTTTGTATGCATATCTGTGAATCCTTGTAAAATAATGCATATCACCAAAGCCCAAATTGTATTTCTTTTAAAAAAATCAATAAAAAATCAAATATTTTTTCCTTGTTAATGAAAACAAGTACTTAGATAATAGACACATGTGTTACTGGTTATACAACTTATATTTACAAAACAGCAACGGCAAAGGGAGAGTGAGTATAAAACAAGGTTTGGCGTTGAGCTTAATATATTTCAGTAGCTAAAACCAGTAAAAATCATGACTAGATAATGAAAACACGTGTATCTATATTGGAAATGTTAATTTAAGGATTTTTTCAGAATTGGTTAATAATCAATTTTATAACAAACTTTATATACAAAAGTACATAATAAAAACAGATCTGATATAAAATACTTTGAGTAAGATATAAAGCAAATGAAAATAATTTAGTTAGGTACAAATGAAACATTCCTGCAAACTGCTTTAACTATTTACTAGTCTTCTTTTAATATTTTATTATGTAAAACTAAAGGCTAAGACTAATATCTAAAAATGAGATTTTACTAATTTCTCATGATCAAAAAAATTATCTTGTAGCAAAAAATTATAAAAGGATTTAGAAAGGCAACTCCAGTAATAAAATATTTGATTGTTTTATGTTAAATTATCTTCTACAGAAGTAAAAAATAATGCAAATATTAAAGTTCAATATAGTATATTTTGAGTCCAATGGTATGTTTATACATATGAGTTACTCAGACCATTTTTAATTAAAAAAATCTTTTCACAGGGTGAGAAAATCACAGAAGTTGGTTTTAAAATAACTAGAAGCCTAAGTAATACTAGTCAAATCCAATGAATAATTTAGAGAAAATAAAGTGTTTACTGGATTGGTTGGTTATGTGGCCTTCTGAAATGAGTAGGCAAGTCAAATAATCTGGACTGTTTGGTAAACTGATTGTTCTTATAAGGGTTTACATTTTTAAAGATTCTTCGTTTCCAAACCAGTTTTTAAAATCTGAGTTTATTTGTTATGTGAGTGTGCACACATACACATGTGTACATATATTTACACATATGTGTGTATATAATATATATATGATTAGTTGGTTAAAAAATTCCACAAGTGTGATTATTCTGGTAGCTATAATTTTGACAATGGCAAAGTTACATATTGTTCCCTGCCCCTTGTTTGCAGGAGGAGGAACTTTGATTCCTTGACAGAAGCCTGGAGATCACTTTGGAAAAGCAGAAAGAGGTCAAGTGGAAGAAAAAGCCCTAAAGGGTGGAGGTGCCTCCGCTGCAGCCATGACTGTCCCAGCGAGAAGGCCTGCCAGCACCGGAACTGTTTCACGGAGGGGCATGGCTCCAAAGACGCACTGTGTATCTGGAAATTGGTTTAGGACCTACCAGAACACACTTTGAGTTTTATCTGGGAATTAAAATCTGCATTCTACATGTCAGTATTAAATCTTCAAGTTCTGACAGTGATGAAATTGTACATCAGACATCTGAGTCTAAAACACAGTATAAGAAAGGATTAATTTTATTGGAGAGAAACTTAGCAGTTAAGTGTAACTTAAAGGCATAAGTACACTCCATGCACTGCCCAAGGAAAGGTGATGCTTATTATAAGATGTTTTTTCCCCCTTGGGTATTGTCTTTAATAAAAGTGTGTTTTGACACTAGCATTCAATACCTTTAACATTAAGTAATTTAGAACTAAACTATTACCATTTCTTTTATTCTTTTATAAGATGTCTTATAAATATTTGTGTACATTTATGATTTTAAAAGCCCATAAAATACCATAGGAACTTTTAACCCTTACCTTTAAAAGCTGATTATTCTACTAATGAACTAACATAAATTCCTTTAAGGGTGGAAACCAAGATAATGTCATCTTTCAGGTTTTGCATTTAACCTACATTAATCAGGATAGATTAAGGAAGATGAATAGGTTCTATTTTTCCCAAAGGGAAATACTGATTGACAAATTAAAAAAAATACATCTTGCATTCTCCAATTAACATCTAAATATAACATTTCACATTTTTTCCCAGATGGATTATTATCCATTAGGATTCATTTTAAATTCATCCCACTGATGATATGCATTTGACACGTCTTATTTCTGTCATAACTTATATTTACACTATAGCAACGGCAAAGGGAGAGTGAGTATAAAACAAGGTTTGGCATTGAGCTTAATATATTTCAGTAGCTAAAACCAGTAAAAATCATGAAACACTTATTTGGTAGATTGTGAAAACTCTATAAAAAATAAGTGCCTAAAGCCATTTATATACTTTAAATGGCATTTTTTTTTTTTTAATGCACAAGCTGAAGAATATTATGTTAAAATTGGGAACAATTAACTTAAGAACATTTCTATATTCAAACTTATGATCTAAAATATCACAAATTAGATACAATATAAACCATTAAATACTAATTTATATTAATTACAACAAAGAAGTATAAAATAAAGTCTTCAATGAAGAGAATTAAAACATTCTAATTTGATTTAAGCAGACCATTATTTACCTATAGCATACTCACAAAAAATTTAGAGATAAAAACATTTAAATAAAAATTATTATACTTAAGACTGATATGAAGTTAAATTTAAAATACCATTCTAAAAACATGGAGATGAATAATATCACCCTTGGCTATGATTTTTCAAGATTATATTATTTGGAGAAAAAAGAAAAAGTAGTGTACTTTTAAACTGATGGCTGCACATGGGTGAATGACAGATTGATCATATGTTCTTTCACTCAATTGGTATTCAGGAAGAAACCGGTCTCTACCAAGGGTATTTACACATACGCCCACTGAAGCATATTGGATAACAAAACAATGCATATATAAGTTCCTAAATAAATGTACACATGATGGATAAAGAGTTATTTAGAAGACTGAAGGTAAGATAATGCCTGTTTTCTTATATTACTTGTTTCCTACATTCATTCATTCAAAAAAATATTTAGTGAACATCTACTACATACCAGGCGCTGCTCTAGACACCAAGGCTGCATTGATGGACAAAATATATAAAATCTCTACACTCTTGGAACTTTAACTTGTCAATAAATGATTTCTGTTTGACTATAAAATGCTACTACTAAAATAACTGCCATTATGTTGTAAATGTTACTAAAATAAAACATGGCATTCTGTGTTAACTGCACTTGGTCACAGGTGGGATACTATAAAGATTATGAAACAGACAAGTTAGACATGCATTTCAACCTGGATGATAATGACATGATAAATATAAAAGTAGAGCAGCAGAACTAAAGATTCTTAAGAATATGCTGATAAAAGGAAACAAAATTTAACACCCCACTCCACTGTCCAGTGTGCAGAAAAATGAAAAACAAAGCAATCAAGCAATTGTATTCTGCTGAGAGGGGATTATTTCTGTGATTTTACCCTAATAAGAATTTTCTGAATTACTATGAATAACCAAATGCATACAGAAAAAATGGGAAATCTGTTATAGTTCATATTCCGAAATAGAATGACAATAGATTTTTGAGCTAAAAAAAATCATGATTAAGATCTTTCTTTAGAAACTGATAAATATGGGAAACAAATTATAAACAATGTCTCTTAACTTTCTGTCTATTAAAATTAAGCCTTTGTAGAAACTGATAAATCATAGAACTATTATGAAGTTGAACGCATATCCTCTTTAAAGAATCCCACGAACTTCAAATAATTCTATATTGGTCCTATAGAGAGAGGGGTAAAGGCAACTTACAGTTTACTGACATTTAAAATAATAACAACATTTCATTAAAAAAATCTCTCTACTGAAGTTTTTCTACACAACTGAAAATCATCAGTTAGGTTAACAGAATTTAAAATACTTCTAGCAGGTGGTTTTCAACTAGAATGCCTGCAGTAGTTTATTCTAGTTGCTTAGATAAATCTAACAAGAATTAGAGCATCACTAACCACGAACAAAAAGCCTACAGAATCTTCTGTGCTTTCTGTTTGTCTATAAAATGTTACTATTAAAATAATTGCCATTATGTTATTATTGTAATATATATAATAATACATATAATAACAGCATACAGTAAATCAGGGAGAAAAGAAAGCTTACTGAAAGCTTACTGGTCAGCAGAAACACTGATTCCTTCTCGACTCTTCACGTTACCTATAAAAATCATTCGTATTTCTAAAGACTTGACTATAAATGTGTTTTTAAATGAATTTAACTGTATTTCAGAGGTGTAGTAACAATGAATGAGGACATCTAGAGAGGAACATTATCACTGCGTTAGCAACATTTACACCCAGCTTTTCTGTATACTGAAATGACGCTGGCAGTATGGAAGATTTGTCATACTATGTAATAAAGAATATGAAGCCATGGAGTAACTCACATTTAACTGTTGCTTCTGCAGCTTAATTCACACATTCATTAACACTAAATATTACTTCATGAATTCTAGAATAATGATTTCAAAAAGCCCAACATATTTAAAAAGTTTAAAACAAATCAACAAATAAAAATATATAAAAATTCTTATACCCACATTGTTATTCATGAAAGTACTAATGAAGATGATTCAAATTAAAATTAAATACATATATTTTACTAAAGTATGTCTTTCAAGTGAAAATGAAATGTGAACTGAATACCACAGCACAACTTCTTAGATTTCTGAAAGTTCAAAAAAGATAACTGGAAATTTCAGGGTTTTTTTTTTTTCTTAAGTCCCTGGATATTTTGACTAAAAGTGAACAAGAATTTCACTTGCCATTTTCAAAACACAAATGCCAGTTTAGTCATTACCTCCACCCCAAAACATAAACCCTGATTTACATACAGTAAATCAGCCTTATGCACAGCCACAGACTCATGCTAACACAAAAGCTATATACTTATGAAACATATACAAGAGTGACACATTGCATACAAATTTTCAGGAAATGAAAAAATATATTCCTTAAAGTGTTCCAAAAACAAGGGCCAAAAATACATGTTACTTTAAAATTTATATCTATAATTTTCACCAAAATTGCAGGCACTCTCCAAGTTGGCTAGACTGTTTTTATTTGCCATGATAATTCCTCTTGAAAAGAAACAAGATAAAATACTTCATCTAAAACCAAATGTGTAAGAACACAGTATTTAGTGTTGTGTTGCAATTTAAAATTTAGATTTTTTTAAAATCTTTCAAATCTTTAAAAATATAGTGAAAACATTTTCTATGAGCCAAAGGTTACAGGTTTACTGAAAGAAGAATAGTATTTTTGAAATGTCATTCAGATAATCCAATTTTGGACTTTTTAATCACAAAATATGAAGAATTTTTAAAAATCATAATAACATCTCTAAATTTAAGAATATACACATTTTCAGTTTGGGAGGGAAAACTAATTCTTACTATATTGTCATGGACATTAGCAGAAGATCTAATTCAAAGGTGTATTTACTTTTTTCTTTTTAATTTACATTTTTTACATTCTTTCTACTTTTAATTTACATTTAGCTCAAAGGTCTATTTACCTTTATCCCCATATATTCAGAAATCATGGTAACAAAATAATTTTTAATCGGTATTTTCACTGGTTCCCCCAAATTTGAACATTCGATGAACATATTTATAGTTCTAGTGAACTGTCATCACTCTCTTAAACTTACCAGTTTTCTAGTGATGCTGCATCGGGTAATCATTAAAAGCTCCAAGAAGCAGTAACACTATGCCTGTTTTGTTTCAAGTATTAGTAATTTATGGCTTATCTATAGTCTCACTTCTTCTTTTGGCCCAGTTTCATTTTAGGTCTTAGGCCCTGAGCTTCTCCACGCAGCTCTTTATTACCCATCTTATATATGATAAATAAATAATTATCAGTTTACAACTGGGTCTGGCATTAATAATCTTGTTTTCCATGTAAAGAATATTACTGGACATACAAGAGATATGATTATCTGTGTCTCAGAAAGACATAGAGATGTAGATAATAAGCATTGGCTTCATAGTAAATAAATAATAGAAAACTTTAAATGTTTAAAATTCCCATCAATTACATTTTACAAATAAATAGCAGCTTGTTATTAACTTGGAAATATTATAGTTGTACCAAAACAGTACAAAAACCTAGTAAAGCAGTATACTGTGGACTCCATTTTTTTAGATATTCCACTGTTCAAAATAGCCATTAAGTGATACAGAGATTATAAGGGGCTGAGAAAGGAAGATTAAGAAGCAAAATAAACAAGTAAATAAATAAAACAAGCATTTAGAAGCAAGCAACACATGCAGAACAAGCAAGAGATTAGTTTACATGAAGAGGCAACTTACATGGCTGTTGAGAAGAGAGCTTCTGTGAGTGGACAGACCGTCAGACTTTTGCAGCGTCTCAATCGCCATTTCAATCTGATAATAGATGTCATTAAAAAAAGGGCTCAAGACAAGATAGTAATAAAAGGCTCACCAGAGATTTTTTGACAGATTTTTTAAAGTTTAATTTCTTCTTGAATGGTGGCAAATGAATAGCTCTTACTAAATGTGTGTCTGCTATCTTCCCCACCCCCAGAGAATAACATAAAAATAGGCACCCTAGTAATAAGCCCAATCACAAAAGTAAAAGGTTTCTTTGAAACATTCTCTAATTAAAATCAGAATGGAGACCAGAGGAGCAGGAACCTCGGTAGATTTTTCTACTTATGAGAAAAAATTCTTCACTTCCATAATTCAAGATGTGGGACAGTAACTACTCTTTCTAAATCGTCTCACACTATTAAAATATATTTAATATTTTTCTATTCTGTCATAAAATTATAGTGCAGATTTTGTTTAAAATGCATTAATATTTTAACGCAAGTGTACGGACACACCTTCATTAATGTTCAGAAGGTACTAAATCAATCCATCCCTCTTTTAACCTTGTATTAAAATTTGTAAGTGAAGGGTCATTAATATGAACAAACATTACAAGATGTAATCATGGCCTCTACGCTATGCTTTAGGATATGGTGGTGTGGGAGAGCTAGTAGAAATGACAGCAGAAGTGGAATGTAAGAGAGAAAATAATTCAGAGCCAACAAAGAAAAGGGGCAACCACAGAAAGTTTTATTCTATGTAATCTCAGCACAGTATAAAGAATCTAACGCCTTAATTAAGTAACAGGTGCCAGTAATATATGAGATGTACTCTTGATAACCTTATATTTAAAGATATCTATCCATCAGCTCCTACTATCACATGTACTGTAAAAACAGGTTCTGAACACCCTGTATTTGGTTATTAGGTAATAGTAACACTATTAACTACAGTTAAATAAAAATCACATTATGTAATTTAAGAGAGGAAATCCATATCATTATTTTTATATTTATCTTCTGATCAAATCAACAATTCAGTATATTAAGTCATAAAAAGTATTTAATGTTTTAAGCATAGTTAACTTAATTATGTTGGTTTGGCCAAAAAGTCTGTTTAGTTTTTTCTGTAAAATAAGACACATTTTTCATTTTCACCAATGATTCTATTGATTCAGATATTTTTTAGTATGTTGGCTGTATTCCGCTATTGGCTCCTAGTAGATAGAGGCCAGGGGTGCTGCTAAACATCTTCCAAGGCATAAGACAGCCCCACAGCAAAGAATTATTTGGCCAAAATGTCAACAGTACCAAGATGCTTCACAAATCACTTTTGACACATTCAATCAGTCACAGCACCTTCTCCATACACTGCAAATCTTTTTTTGCATTTCAGTTGCATTTTTACCTTTCTTGAAATAAGAAAGCATAATACACCAAAAATGTTACATATCTTCTTCTACTATCTTTAATATTACAATGGCTGTGCAAAAATTCACCAATTTTGGTAAGTTTTTTTTAATGTACATTGATATGACAGCTGTCACAATACAACCTAACAAAATTGTTTCAAATGAAGTTATAATTAAGTGCTACTAGAGTCCTCTTATGGAGAAAAAAAACAAAAAACTTTTTGGCCAACCCAGTATTTGTTCAAGCATCTAGGGGTTAACTAGTCTCAAGAAAAAGATGGCAGACTTCAGAATTTTACACCCAAAATACTGGGCCTAAAGTGAACTGGTGAGATCATATGCTTCCAGTTTACTACAGATCATTTGAAACTTAAATTCAGTTCTTTCTCCTGGCTAGAAATATACTTAGTATTGTACTAAATTATATTCCACAGTACGCATAACTATCATATTTAAGGTAGGAGATGATAATGAAGATTGATGGGAAATTTGCTTAAGAGTAGATGTAGGCTCATTTATTCAAAAGATCATTGGCCCAAATGTTGAACATGATCTTCTCATATATCCTCTAAGGAAATGTTTCTCATCTCAGCAAAGATATCATATCACTGTAGTTTCATACAATAAAAATGATTAAATAACTAGATTATCAGCTAGTCAAAATTTGAAAGTGATTCAAATTCAAGAAATATGTAGAGTTTTTTCCCCAATAAAAATATAAATAAAACACCCTTCCTCCAGTATAAAAAAACTATGGTGCTTGCTACAATAATGGGAATCATTAGACTCATAGGGTTTCATGAGACTTCCTCTCATATCAAGGAACACAGAGCCCTATTGTATATAAGGTGCAGTGTTAGTTCTGTGTGTGAGTGTGAATGTGGGGAGAGAGATGGAGAAATAGAGGGAAGGAGGAGGGGGGGAGACAGAAACGTTTGCAAAGATATGCAAAACATAGCCCTGTCAACCAGATCACAATACAGCACAGGCCTGACTATTTGTTGAAAGTGACACAGTATCTATTCATATAAAAGGAACTTATCTCTCTTTCTCTCTTTCTCCCACTCTCCCTCTAAATGATTAAGTCAACCAGAATGAATTAAATAATTAAATAGTACTAGAATACAGAAGGAGAGGAGAGTTACTTCTCGCTGATGTGGTTCGAGAGAGAGCACGGGTAAAGTGCTTCTTTAGCAGAAGATTGACAAATAATTCCTGGCATTCCGATACGGGCATGGTAGTGAACATTTTAGGCAGAGAAACTGAATGAATGCAGAGAAACTGAATGAATAAAGGCACTGAGATAAGACAACAGAATGTAAACTCAAGGAAGAGTAAGATTGGCTGAAGGATATAGTTCCTTCAGGGGTAAGGTGAAGTTAGACTGCAATTTCTTGGCTAGGATCTTCAATTAAAAAAAGGAATGAAACACTGTTGAAAAGCTTTTAGAAAGGGAATTGATCTAATATGACAGCACTTTATATTTCAATCCAGGATATAATGTAGGAAAGGAAAGAATCTGAACACAGGAAAAGCACTCTGGAAGCTATGGTAATAAGGTAGCAGTGAGAATGAGAAGGAATGAATATAAACATACTTTTGAATTACAGATCTAAAGGTGGAAAATCTAAGGCAGAAAGCTTGGTAGTGCCTTATTTTTACTTGAAATGAACACAACAGTCTTTATACCATCACTGTGCAATTAGAAGATGTCAAATATACATATCAAATACACTGACATGAATAAATTCTAAAATGTTTTCCTGTTCATCTCTCTGCTGCATAATCTTTATTCTAAGACTTCTGATCATTTTGTTATTGAAATTTCAACTCTACTACAAACTATTATAATCTGATTAGCAGGAGGCCCTGTGACAATCTGAAAGACTAATTTGTGGCCTCAATGATATGTCTTCCTGAGTCTTTCTTTCTCTCATTTTTTTCTTTCCTTCTTCTCCTTTCTTTTTCTTTCTTGTCTTTTTTCTTTCTTCTTTTATTATCTTTTTCTTAGAGTCTTTTTATTTTTAAAAGAAAAGTCCTTTTGCCTTTTTTCTATTTAATAGTACAGAGCCATATTTTTTATGTCTAAAGGATTTATGGTTGTTGTTTTTTTACAATTAAAAAGTTGGCATGTTAAATAAACATTGTTCGTTTTCTACATAAACTAATTAAGCTACAGACCATGATTATACCTTATTTTTTTAAAAAAACAAAAACAAAAACAAAAATTAATTCTCCAAACTAAAGTATAGCATCCATTTGTATCTCTTTCTAAATAACGATCCTAAGGCTGGGTTGCCAAAAGTGTACACAGCCTCTCCATGATTACCTAATGCTAAGATACATAGAGCTTGGGAGTTTAAACGGGTTCATGATGATCCTGGACTATTGCCTCATTATCCAATAAGAAGCTACAGCAACTCTTCTGAGATCAAGTGGTGGGATGCTCCATTTGAAATGGCATGTTTAGCCTGGAAAGTCAGGCTTACAGAGCATTGAGATTATTAAAGTAGGTGAGACTTAGAAAGTTCCTATGTGAAAGGGAGGGTAAGAAACTGATATCATCTCAGACACAATGGGCACATGACGTCTTAGAAAAGTAGGTCCTTTCTGGAAGATAAAAGAAGATCCTTAGGAACACATTTATGTACATGTATACTATGGCCCAAATAGAATATTGCATATGTGGACAATTAGGACTTTCTCTTAATGTAAATAATGACCAGTCATTCCATTACATGCTAATGAGACAGAAGGAAAAAGAACAATTTTACCATCTTATTCATTGTCTTTATAGGTCAAAGCATATTCTCTTGACTCTGAAATGTCTTTTTAATTGTTTTTAAAGACTAAAGGTCAAGATTGATGTAGTCAACTATCACTGTAATTAAAACTGGTCTCATGGTAAAAAAAAAAAAAAATCCTTCCTAGAACTGTTAAAGTGATTTAAAAATAGAATACTATACACTTCGTAATTTATAAAGCCTATCTGATTTGATCTTCACAGCAACTTTGTAAAATAGGAAAGTTAAGCAATATTATCTCCTTTTCACAGATTAGAAAGTTGAGGCTCTCTGGGATGGAGATATTGTACTTTCCTAAAATCACACAGGTGTGAACTATGAGATTGGAATCCAAGATTTATTTCTCTAAATTCAACACCATTTCCATTTTATATAAATAACATGGACACAAACCAAGCAGAAATATTTCAAATTGTTTTAATAAAACTATCTTCTAAGGAAGGCTTGTAAAATTAAAATTTGCTAAATGGCCCACACTTAACAAACAAGATTTACTTTCCAACAGGAAAGGGTTTAAATATGACTGGTAAACATCACTTGAAAATAGTTTCAAAATGATCAAGTTACAAGGCAACAAAAAGTTTTGAATGGATAGTTAAATTTTAATCATCATAATGTCCATAGTTACCCTTAATGTATAATATTGCATTTTCTTGTTAATATAGTCACTCTGTTAACCTCATGTTATATTTTCTTAGAGAAACAGCATTTCTGTGTCCCAGTGAAAGAGCAGTAAGTGCTTTAGAGACACCCAATGAAGAAAATACACTTAAGACTGAAAATTTACTTCTGGGTAATTTCTCCCCTAGACTCTAATACTTTACATTTAGTTTGCATTT